GTAACTTTAGTGGGTTAAAAGGTCAAAATAGTTCTTTTTCTGACCCTCTTTCTCGGTTCCACGGCTTTCACAACGTTTTAATTATTTATTTCAGAACCGTTCACAACTAGGATCGTCAGCACGTCGTCGACCACTATGATACCAACGACGGTTCTGGTGACCACCACGATTCGTCCAGTGCCGTCGTTTAGACCGCTTCTACAACGGCAAAATGCATTCACCCGACGTCCTCCAAGCAGATTCTTGTTGAGAAGCAGAGCGCCTGGCCGTGGTTCTGGAAGGAGGCCATCTTCAAAGCAGAATACTTTCACTTTACAGGTAAGCATGTCATCAGCTAATTATCAATGACTTCAAGAGCATATTCCACAATTAACTGAGATATGGGGTTCTTTTTTGTGTATACGTGGGCAGGTGCGCAGCCGTAAAGCACACCGAAGGCATATCACCTTCGCCATTCGGGTGCGGGACAAAAAAAGTTACGCTTTTGTGATTAGTCTATGTCACTGGTGTCTCCACCCCCTGTCGACAGCTGTATCCATACACATTGCTCGTCTGCGCCCTCTCACCGAGATACTGTTTTTGACTCTTTGGAATTAGTTCTTGGCAGGTTCTGAGAAATGCCTGTTTCAATTGAGAAAGTTTAGAACTACACTACAAGGGCAAGGAGGACACCCTTTGAAGGCTCCTTAAGAGGCATAGCTGCAACTAAAAATCTGATGACTCTACGCGATTTCAAGCTACTTTCAACCAAAAAGCCTGATCTGAGAGAAAACCGAGGATTCAAGTTTCAAAATGTGCTAGTGGTACAGTCATGTTCGCTACCGATGGAAGGGCATGTCAGGGGGGGGTAGAGTTTGGCGCAGCGCTAGCCCATTTTCATCCAATTTTCGAAGGGGCAAGCGACATCAGATAGTTGAAAATGAAGTGGCGCCGCGCCAGAGCCAGTCTCTCTATCCCCCTACGTGCTCCAACATCGAGCGAGCAAGACTCTGTTCTTGTCCTACATCTGAAATAACCACTAGAGAGGTTATTTGGGACTCAATCAACCCATCAACCACTGCCTCGGTGAGAGGGCATAGACGAGCAGTATGTGTGGGCGTTCACGCCGCCAATGGGCGGAGACTTCACTCCGTACCTACCCCCTGGCGACTTTCCACGCGCGTCCTAGTGTGGAAAGGGTACCCTTCTGCGACTAAGGACCTCCCCGCCCACTTACACTCAGGAAGGATCCCATCTCTCAGGTTGTCGCAGTATTTGCCTTCAAAAATTGCTTTCTATTTTCAGAATCGTTTCCCGTTCACACGGCGACCTCGACCTCGCGAACGTGCTCGTCCACTGCCAAGACTTCTTCCATCGTCACGATTCCGTTCACCATTTAGAGATCAGTTCGCGCCACTCAGAAGGCGTCCGGCCGAGGAACTCGCAAGGACCACTAGGTCTACCCTCACAATGCCCACGACCACTCTTGAACCCACTACCCCTACCTTTACTATCGTAGAAGAAACGACTACGGAGGAACCGACAACTACAACAGAGCCCACAACAACTACAAGTACTACTACTACAACTTCTACTACCACAACAACACCCACAACAACGACAACAACACCCACAACAACAACCACCACCACTACAACAACAACCACCCCCACTACCACCACCACAACAACAAAGGCCACGACCACTACGCCTAAACCGACGACAACACCCAAACCGACCACATTACCCAGACCGGTCACGACATCCAAACCGCACAAGTCTCATAAACCAACGAAAATCCCTAAATCGACCACAGCAAAGAAATCCACCACCGCGAAGTTCACCCTCACTTCGCTCGCTCCACAGAATACTGCAGCCAGTATCATGGAAGCCATTAAATTGACCAAGACGGAATTACTCCTAGCTGAATTAACAAATCGTATCAAAGCGCTTGGTAATAACGAGCCAGAACATCCACTGATGGATCTCAGGGAGTTCCTTTGGCCAAAGGAAGACTCCAGAGAGAACCTGATCCCAAAGCTGAGCCAACAACGTTAGCCCTAACGACGATGACAAGGCCAGTGACGACGGCGACGATGGCAACGACGACTTCGACCACGACCAAAGCAACGACTGTCAAGAGGGAAACACTGACGACCGTGCCGGTGGAAGTAGATGGGGAAAGTGAACTTGAACCTGTGAAGTCCCATCCGAAAAAGATTCCACAGCTGGAAACTACAAGGCGATGGGGAACTGTAATGTCTGTTCCATTACCAGATCCGACATCGTTATCGTTGAGACTTCTAGACGATGATGAAGATCAAAGAAATATCGAAAGAATCATGGAAGAGAAAGAAATCGTTGAAAAGCAGATACAACAACAGAATCGCCTGAGGTGCAGGAAAAACCCGAGGAGGAAACGAATGAACCCGTTGTCTTTAATGACCCCGTCGATGCAGTATCGCAAGAGCCGGGTGCTGAACAGATCGTTGCAGTACACTCAGAGCTTGTTATGGGAGAAACGACAAGTCCTAAACCGCAAACAACCGTACCAACAACTACCGTAATCATGCAACAGGACACTATGAAAGAGCCAAGAGTGACTTTGCGATCTCATGAAGAGGCCATCGAATTCCTGAAATCGAAGATTGAAGCACTAGAGAAGAGGCTGCTAGAAAGGTGAGACTCAGCGACATTTTTAGAAAAAAAAACTCGGTTTTAGTCACAGAATCTATGGAGAGTCTAGTACATGGCGTATGCCAGAAGGATTTGCTATTTGGAGCTTATTTTCCTAAGACCTGCTGTAATTATAGAAAGCGGCCGGAGACTTAGTTATTGCCCCATCCCCTTGCTGGGATATGCCATGCATTTTACATCCGCTCAAAACCGAAGTCGCTTCTGAATGTGGTCCAATGTCTGGCGGGATTCGATTCTGAGGGGGACCTTTGGTGCGCGCGACGACCTGCGCTGCCTGCCACTATACTCCCTTCCCTCAATCCATTCTGAGAGGGAGGAGGTGCCACGGTGTGCCTAGGAGATTCCTCAACGCGATGGAAACTACCAAATAGGTGTTCGGAGGCTCCCTAGGAATTGTACGTGAAATGAGTACAGAATCAAGCACTAGAACAGCTTGTTCAAACCCTCTGGAGTGCGCAACGCACTTCTGCCGCGGATTATAGAGACCACCTTTAAGGCTCAGGAAATTGATTTGTGAGAGCTGGAAGAAATCGTCCATTTCGTCCATCATTGGTGCTAGTCGACCCGT